CGTGATTCCCGACGCAAAGGCAGCTGCAAACATGCAATATTTTCTTAAAACTTGAGTATTTTTAGTATCAAATTATACATTGTATATATAATGCATGCATCAGCATCAATGTGGCCTTTAAAACTTGAGAAAAACCTAGTCTTATCGACCTAGCTACTAGTTTATCCCACTCTTTTTTGGGTTCAAGTTCGTATGTTAATTTAACTATGTTATCGCATCAAAATTCTATTTTATTTTTACTTTGTCTGAATCTATCAAAACATTTTTGAGATTATAACTTGGTCAAACTTCATTATAATCGTACATTCTATCGGACCCATAATTTTTAACCACACATTTCAAGAGACTAACAACTTATAATCTCTAAAAGCTTTTTCAACTTATTATTAATAACGCGTACCATCTAAAGTGGTTTAATTTTAAAAAAAAAATACTTCAAATCACTATTAAGAGTTGATGTTCAACTTAAAATGTCAGTATTATAAGGAGGAGTAACTCAATCACTTATTTATTTGTTAGTATTTTATACTTAATCGATATGTGATTTTATCCTTAACAAATAAAAAAAAAATCGCTCATTTTTCATCTTCCTAATCATTTAGTTCGATGCACGTTCCATTAGGATTTCAAGAACTATTTATACGCAGTATGATAGATAAGGTCTAAAATTTCAAATTTTAAATGAGACACGAATTTATTCAATTACTTTTTTTCTAGACACATTTAAAAATGGGTCACATGTATTTAGAAATATTATCTATAAAACAATCATTCACATACAAACTGAAATAAAGATTTTATATGTACACAATTTTCATAAATTAGCGATACTAAAAATTTAAATTAAGTACCATCTTTCACGAAAGTCTAATGACATGATGACCATTCAATTTAATAGTTTAAGCGGTAGAGAACGATGACAGGCATATATTCTTTTAAATATTAACCATTTATTTCATTTATATTTATCTTCGACATGTCTAGTAGTAGTAAAGACCTAGCACCTGTTATAACTTAGAAAAACCAGGATTGATTAAATCAAAAAAGGGAGGAAAACCTAGCTACAAGTTTTCTTCACCAAATGTATAACTGCTAAGACTTTTCTAGACTGCTATTTAATATTATGATCTCTTGATTTTCAAGGCATATACAATTGGGCATGGTCCCAATTCATTAGGTAAGAGACAAGAATTGCAAAATTTTACTTTGAAATTACTTGGACTCATATTTCCTGACTTTTTCTGATTCTTTTGAAATTGGAATAAAATATTTTATGTATTTCTGAATTTGAAGTAGTCCACAAATTTTATTTTAAAGTCTCTGAAAATTGCAGCTTGTTTATTTTACTATGCAATGAATGATTTTAAAATAATTATATCTTGAAAATTGCTTTTCTAAGAAGGTGGGCAACAATGACCTGTATCACGAGTGCTATATGTATAACATCAAATGTAGATGCATCAGGCATACATAAACATACGAATATATACTTTTAGCAGTCAGATGCCTACGGTTTTCCATTGATAAATTATAGTTTTTTAGAGAGAGAGAGAGAGAGAGGTCTTTCATCATCTTCTTACATTCTAGGGCTTATTGTTCATTGGCATTTTTTAAATTTGTAAATAATCATTCTGAAGCCTAGTTAATGGAATCTTCAAGCCAAGAATGATCTCTTTTCTTGTTGGAGGTTTATCATTTCGGATCGTGTGTGGAATATAGAAATAATTGGGCAAAAAGCGTCGGCAGCCGGGTTTTTTGAGCTATCAAGCTTCTACAAGACCTGCTTCCTAAACTTCTGTTACTTCGTAAATAATCACTCGATATGCCATCTATAGGCTTCATCATTACACTCTAGAAGACTCTTAGATAGTAAAGTGAAAGGTGGACTACATAACACAAAGCAAATAAAAGGTTCGATGGAGGGAAGTGGAGATAGTACCGAATGTTCTAAGACTAGCCCTTATGAGGTAAGTGATGATGAAGGCGAAAGCGAGCAGAAAATTGAAGTGTCCAAGCTTAAAGACGGAGGAAGCTCAAGCAACAGTACTGTTGAAGAGAGCGAGAAGAAGCCATCCCTGAGGCCTTATGTCCGATCCAAGATGCCTCGACTCCGGTGGACACCTGATCTTCATCTGCGCTTTGTTAATGCTGTCGAAAGACTTGGGGGTCAAGATAGTAAGTTAATTCAAACGTTTTGCACAAGCGTTTAGAAACTAAATTTGAAGTAAAAATTTGTGATTTGAAAAATTGAGGTAAGGGTTTTGTTAATAATCTTATAATTTTTCTTCTTCTGGTGCAGGAGCTACACCAAAATTAGTACTTCAGTTGATGGACATGAAAGGGCTTAACATAGCTCATGTCAAGAGTCATTTGCAGGTACAATTATTTCTAGATTTTTCAATTATTGAAAAAAAATATGTACAAGTATATGCAAAAAAATCAAATTAGATATCAATATGTCTAATTCCACCTTAATTTACTATCAATACTTACTTGTTGGTCAGATGTATAGAAGCAAAAAGACTGATGATTCCAGCCAATTAGGTACAATTTTATTTCCTTTTTCTTCTTTCCCCTTAATCTTGAGTACCAATTAGGGTTTCATTATTCACACCAATCTTATGCAATATATCCTTCTACCTTACAGGTATGATGGATCACAGAGTATTTATGGAAGGCGCAGACCGATATATCTATAATCCAATACAGCTCCCTCATCTTCCAAGCTTTAACCAAAGGGATAATTGTACTTTCAGGTATAATAATCTACAAACAATTTTCTTAGGGTTCATTAGTATATTGGTGTTAATTTTCTCACATTAAGAATCCAAATTCTTCCCCAAGATATGGAGATGCTTCTTGGAATGGACTTGCGAAATGGATGCATAATTCGACCACAAGGCAGAATTCTTATCACAAGATCAGTCGACAAGGGTTTTACGATAATCTTGCTGAGAGGATCTTGAGCAAACAATATTATAGGTCAGTAAATCAAGATCTTCTTAGCAGCAGAATATCTTCTTTCAATGAAGGATCCACTCGGAGAATCAACGAATCCAAAGGTGTTCTCGGATCACTTCAAGATCAAGAATCTTGGATAGGTCAATCTAAACAAAACCCTATTTGTGAGCTCAATTCCTTAAAGCTGATGCAGCATAAAGTTCATGAGCATAGTACTTCTGATAATAGAATTAATATCCCTCCTCGAAATATAGATGGAACAACGAGTTTCCAAAGGCAGACTACGGTAAAAAGGAAGGCCTCAGACTGTGATCTCGACTTGAATTTATCGCTCGCATCAGAATCAAGGGATGATGAGAGGCAGCAAGATTTACAGTACGACGAGAGCGGCTTGTCGTTATCATTGTACACTCCATCTTCATCGAAGCTTAAGAAGTTAAAAGAAGATGATAGTAATGCAAGAGGAGCGAGTACTCTGGATCTGACTCTGTGAATTAGGTAATTCTAAGTGAGATCTTGAGGTACTTGTTTCAGAAAATGCATATTTCATTTGTGTTGTAGAATTAAGATAAGTACTAATTAATGCTCTTTTTTTTTTCTTTTTATTGGAAAAATCTAGCTGCTTCATTGATATGGAAGGCTTAACTGCAAGAAAAATAAAAGGAAAATCATTTTTAATATGCTACTTCCTCGAGTGAAAATATGTAAAGCAAAACATAAGAACAAACTCCATTTAGTGCCATTTAGTTGTATTTTAGCAGACTTTTAAGGTAGCTTAAAACTTTTAATTTTTTCTATATAGGAGACATAAAAAAGGTATGGTTTAAGCTACTTTAAAATTAGGATTTTAGCTAAGTTTAGTACCTTAAAATTTAATTCTTTTTTATATGTATGAGACATACTTAAATTTGGAGAACATATCGATAAGAATGGGAGAAGTACGATGGCATCCATCCCAACTTCACCATCAGGTTCGACCTGCCCCTTAGAACCAGTAGATATTGAGTTGGCAGTAATACGGAAAAAAAAAAAGAAAAAAAAAGGTAGGATTTAAGCTACTTTAAAACACAACCGAGCATGCTACTATAAGTTCATAGATTATCACATATTGAAGCATGCAAATTTCTGAAATACTAACATTTCCTATTGCATGAGGATAATGAATTTTTTTTGGAAATCTTCTTTCTTTATTCTCTTTCAGAAACTCAAAGGAATTTTCAATCTAAAATTTGGGAACTTTTAATCAAAGTGTTGGTAGGTTCGAACGTGCACTTTAGTGTAACTTGTAAGTTATTTGGATAACCTTATTCGTCGAGTGATGAAACTTTTGGTATTGTTTCTCTTGCAAGTTTAACAAATATATCAAGATCAGAATATTGAGATTCATTCTAATTATTCACCAAATTAGAGTAAGATAGTTGAATATATTGAATTGTGTAACTAATATAACGGTCAAAAGTAATTTTCTTATGAAACTCTTTTACGAAAAATAGAAATAACTCGAGATATTATCGTTTCTCCATGACTTCAACGACAACAAATGAAGAATGAAAATAAAGAGACTAAAGGTGCAATTCTCCAAATTTGAAAAGGGTTATTCATTTAAATCAAAATTCGAGTGGAGACCGTCAGAATCTGCAATACATATCAGGAAGAAACATCAGCACATGTTTTATATTAAATTAACATTGCTAATAAAAAATCTTTGATATTTTAATCAAAGATTTAATCCCATGTCGGATACATAACTTAACTGAGAGGTGCATACAAATTTCCATTTTTTGTGGTGAAACAGCAATGACGTCCCTTGATCCTGTTTTATCGAAAATCACCAGTCTTAGTTTCAGTTTTCTTGGATGTATCAAAACTTTTTTTTTTCAATAAATGCTCCACCGCTTGTGCACGCCCCCGTCAATTCCTTTGAGTTTTGATCTTGCGACGGTACTTCCCAGGCGGATTGTTTCAAGCCCGTGATCCGCGTAGACCAAGGGCAAACACTTATCATTTACCGCATGGACTACCAGGGTATTATTTGAACTCTAACCTCAAGCCTTGACTAGCTAGTTAGAATTTAATGAGTTCATTTTGCACTAACTACGAACTCTACTACGAATGGAGTAATAATGCGACTTGTTATTTACGTCTAAAATTAATTTAAACAATCCAATTATTGTCAACTAACCTCAACTAGGGTATATATGCCATTTGGGTAAAATTATCAACTCAATTCTAAATTTATAGAATGGGGACTCACGCAATCAAGATTGCTCGACTAGACTTGCCTAATACAAAATTGATTTCAAATGTTTTGAATCTTCCAAACAAGGCCCATTA